AAAAAATGATTAGCATGTTTAAAGAAAATGTTCAGCAAAATGTAGGCGTTCATCAGGACTGTCCGCGTCTTACCCCTTTCAGAGTTGTACAGAATAATGATGACTCCAAAACCGGAACCTTTCCTCACCTTTTCCTAAAATATACAACCAAGGAAGCTAATTTTCGGATATCGAATCTGGTTTACTAGAAATAACTTTGAAATAGTTATTCTAAAAGGCAAAAAAAATTAGTCACCTTTCGGCAGCCGCGGTGCAAATAATCAAGCAAATGAAATTTTCTATGCTGTTCAGCAGTCGGCGCACGGACAGAAAGCCAGGACCCGCTAATCTAAAACTACTGTACAAGAAACATCCCCTGTGGGAAGGTCTCTTATTTGAATCATGATGTTCCGACTGATTCGAACTGCTCTGTAACAAATCTCGAAGGAAGAGTTTAACCAATTTCCTACTCGAATACTTAATGCAAAAGTGAAACCGCTTTAGGGTTTTATGAGCAATTTCCTAACTGACTTCTAATCTTCAATTTTTAAGTAGCTCTACCTGAACGGATTCAGCAGGTCATCATTTAAACTTATGATGTTTATTGTAAAAAGGTAATATTAACCTATCGACCATATGCATTTAAACATTAGCATATATTTTCAGTAAAATAAGCTCTCTTAACAGCGTCACCTACATTCCATCGCAGAGATTAGGTCCACCTGCTTACTATATAACCATTTTTATTAGCAGTCGGTTTAACACCTTTTCATATATATGAATTTTAGCAAGAGTTACTGTAGGACAGGACATCGATCCGGAATGGGCAGATATCAAAAGCATTAAAAAGGAGACGCTTAAAATTTGGCGTTTGTCTGTAAGTCCTTTCCCTCATTCTGATAAGTATTTTACTTACTGTCTTGCAGGGTTTATATACGAGGCAGATACGTCGAACTTCATAGTATATAACTTAAAACGAAAATATAAAGTCATCTTGCAGGATATTTTACGTGTCTAATTTGCTATCCTGTGCGCGACAAACTATTTTTTGTGGCATTCTTAGAAGAAGCCAGACCATTCTCCGTGTATTATCAGTTAGACCAGAATCACCAATGTAGATGAATAAATGTCTTTTATCGGTTAAAGAGATACCGACATCTTGTTCTTAACCATAGGAGGAGTCTCCTAAAAGGCTATTTTAATGACACAACTGGAAGTGGAGATTTTCGGTCGACTCTACGGGTCTGACATAAGTTGAGGACACTCGTTGGCAATAATAGGTTAGCTTGATAAATGTCACACCAACATAATATGAACAGTAACGAACGGTATAAGGGAATTTCAGCTCTCTCTCTCTTAAACACAGTTGCAGGCGTGGTATATACTGTAAGCATCCAGGGGCCCGAAAGCTTAGATCAAAACTTGGGAATTACATAATGCCGCGAGTTTTTTCACAATTGGGTCAACTAAATTACAGATAAGACAACATTATCAATTTATTCATAAAATGTAGTTGGTTGCATATTTAATTATAACCTACAGGTGTAGCAACTGGGTATTAACTTAGTTAAAGCCCAAGCTTGTCTACAAAAAGGATTAATAAAGTCAACTCGGATTATATCAAGATCAAAATGATTAATATATACCTTTGTACATTATGTACCCTGCATAGAACAGAATCCCGTTAGTAAATAATCTCTCGGAGTTTGCTTATGCACTGTTTCAAGAGCTGTTTTTGAATTGGACTTCAGTCTCTAGCTTTAACATTACAGTTTTCTTCTTTGTGACCTAGGAAGGCATAGCACCTGTATAGCCCTGAAACGTTACTTCAATAATGAATATCAACTTAGTCCAAGAAAGAATATTTTTGTGCAGGCTTTTTACAAAATATACTCAGGGTTATAAAGGTTTCAAAAATCGTTTCCCAATATGCATACTAGTCAGGTAATTACCTTTTACACAGTGAACTTTTTTCAGGCGGCCATAAAGAGGCTTGTACAAAGACTAGCGTCCTGATGTAAATGAACGAATTTTGTATTAGGCTATTAGACACATCATATTATACCCGGACTTAAGTAATCTTAGAAAAAGGAAGTCAAGCTTCAGTTAATATTTCCTGCCTATTTACTGTAAAGTCACTGATGACCATCTTCCATATGCTCGTGTTTTATTAGAGTCAGCGAACAATAGTTCCTTTGCCAGAAGAGGACTATGGGTACTTCTTCAACAATGAAATGTACGTTATACTGCAAGCTGCAAACAAAAATACGAAGATGGTTTTCAATATACACTACTGGATGGGCTTGGATCGCGCAAAGGTAGTATAAACGTTGTTAATCATAATCATCCAATCTGCCTAATGCCTCTGTTTTCGCCATTCGGGTTTTTTCTCTATATATGTTGCCTCTTGATTACCTTAGCTTTAAGTTTATTCCTCGTGCTTGATACACAATTGTGCAATTTCTAGGAGAGTCGGTACCTAGGTTCTGTATAATGTCAGAGAAAAAGAGCCATCAGACAACCTCTCGGCGGTTGAAGGCCTTGCTTTTAGCTCAGTGGATGCCATTAACAAGCCTTTAGACTTGGGAAGACCCCTTAAATGCTGAAACACCGATGAGACTACTGACTAAGCAATTAAATAGAAGTGGAAAACCCAATTGATACTCTACTTCATCTGAGAACAGTTTGTCAGTAGAACTGGAGAACAAATATATGAAATGAAGAGATCAAGAAAACTATATTTATTACCTCATCGCTTCGTAAATTATTCGTTCGTTGTGTATATAGGGTGTCCCAAAAAGTGTATATACATTTTATCTATTTGTAAAATTGGTGTTTATCAATAATTTATTATTAAATAAATGGAAAATATTAACAGGCTGCATTTTGTTGTTTTTATCCCTGAATGTTCTCAAACTGACGTCCATTTCGATCATGACAGTGCTGACAGCACGAAGCAATGGAATCGCACATACCATGAAACAATTCCCTTGGTATTCGGGTGTATTCATGTTCGGTAGCTTATCTCAATTCAGCCACTGTTGCAATAGTCAAAAATGCAACGAAATAAACAATATAACGAAATTATAATAAGAACCAAATTTACGATTACTTAAAATGTGTTCACATTTTTTGGGGACAACCTGTATTTTATCATTTAAATCAAATCTAAGTTGTCTTAGTTCAAGCGTTTCCCCAAAATAAAGAATATGTGCATGAGTGCCATAAGCTGTTGTCCTAAAGATATACGCTTAATATTCACGTTTATTTGTTTCAACATATGGGCAAAATGTTGATTTTTTACACTTTGTGACCCACGGCTAACGTAAATAATAAAAAATTATATTAATACTTTATTCGCTGTTTTGCTATAGTACCTTTAAACTCCAGCCACTTGCTTATCGAAATATTTCTCCTACAGGGTGCCAGGGAAAATTTTTAAAGTAAAAAAGTTGTTAAATTTAGACATATATAATGAATTCTTGATTATGCTGGCAATAGCATTTGTAGATTGTTCACGCTTCAGAAGTCCAACGGCTGAACTCCGTAGAAAAGTTTTTTTACATAGAAATAAATTGAATATAACTATAGAGCGACTGGTTATCGAAAGTCGAGGTTCGAAAAATAAACTGTTATGGTGGCTCACGTCAGGCGTAAAATGTGGAATAACAACGCGTATCAATCAACCTTTGGCTATAAGCAAACCTCCATGATGAGGCCCATCAATCTTGTACTCGAGCGTATGTTTGTGCATCCGCTTCTAACTAGTAGCCAGGGTTCTTATTGGCTGAGTGAAGGTAGAATAAGCGCAAAATAGCCTGTATTAATTTATCAGCTTTTATTTCGCTCTGATCCTCTGCCCCTGTAACTTAGCTGACTTCCATCTGGTAACTGTTTGCCTGTTCGCAATCTTAAGCACCCACGTAAGGTTTAAGTTCAGTATTCAAGAAGTAAAGTTTGGCTAATGTAAGTTTTCGCTTATTCATCATCAGGCATTTAAAATGATATAGTGGAGGTTAGATTGACAAAAAAATTAACCATCCAGTAAATAGTAAGTATGGGTAAGAGCGTTGAGGGGGCTCGGAAATCAAGCAGTTCAACTCTAGTCCTTTCAAGGGGTCAGGGGGGAGAGAGGAGGTAGTTATGTGTTCAACAATTAGTTCATACCTCCGCATTGACGCTGTAACGTTATATTCTAGGTGTGAAGACGCATACTGAGTTTCTTTGCTTCGGTGGGCCAATATACCGGTGCGGGCCTATTTTTGATTCAATATGTATGTATGTGTGCCTACCTGCCACTTAATATATGTACCCAAAGTTCTCCCAACGTCCAGACTATTTTCCAAACATACAGAAATGCACGAAATCACTAAAAACTATTTTAAATCCCACAGATGAGCGAGACTAATACTACGCAAGTCCTAAATACTCATAAGATAATGATGCTTCCATGGGAAACACCTCAGAATTGGTCCCCCTGCACTCACTCTTCCCTCCAAATTAAATTCCAACACCGCCCTTGTTTCGCACCTTGTAGACATCGGACACCTCTCCACCGCCTAAGGTCTTGCAGCTTATGGAAGTCCTGCAAAACAAGGCAGTTCTGCATCGAGAGATTGAGGGCTATGAATCCCCACAATTTAAGAACTACTTCAAAGTCTTCGGGTTGGTTCTGAACCTTATGGCCCTAAAGCTGTCTTTGGCCTTAATCTAGTATTGTGATTACCCGTGATATGACAATCCTTTTGTTGTCCTTGATTGTCTAAAAGCATATCCTGCTTCTCTGACCGTCATTTACAATTGATAAGGCGTCGTCCAAGCCAGTTGCAGTCAGCTTTTGTCCCCGTGGCTGTAAGGAGCGTGATCAAAAGTTAATAATATTCCTAATATACATGATGCATGATCAGATTGGGAAACTATTTAGTCATAAATGCATTGCGAAAGGGACATTTCAGCCCCATGCGATAGCCACCTGTAACCTGACTATGTAGTGCAACTGCTTTAAGCGTTGGGTGGCTACATTACCAGCGCTTTTTTGGTGTTTCAGAGTTCAAAGCGGAGCCGCCGAGCAGATTTTCAGCCAAGCAAACGCTGCTGCCTATAGGCCCCGTCTGCTCCACTTCCAGCTGAACGCCGCAAAAACGAGGGTTACAGTCTATGAGGTACCCGTGAGCGTCAAATCGTTGACCAGCCAAGATGTCTTCATATACGATGAGGGCAATAGGATGACTCAATGGAACGGAAGCAAATGTGATGAGGAAGAGAGAATTGCTGTAAGTTCCCTTCATGCTGCCCCTAAGTGCAATTCTGATAACCCTCTTAAAAGATCCGCGTTATTTAACTGCTGCCCTCTGC